GATATTTTTTAAAACAGTGATTCCTTTCACACCATGTTCAGAATCTGGACGTCAAAAAAGAGGAAAACAATCCGTAGGTTGAACAGGAAATGCCAAAGCTGTATGTACATTGGCTTTATCTGAAGATTGAAACTTGCACAGGCAAGATATTATACTATTGTATGCACGTGCACATACATGTACTTGTAGGTGTACATTTGCATTTTTAATAGCTCTATGCACATTCTTGAAATAGGGCAGAAGTTATTGTACCATTAACAGCTTGGAAATGAAAACAGGAAGTTATCAACTCTTGTTTCAGGTTGGGTTTTTAACTTAACTTCAACACAGTAAACTTTAATTTCCAAAGGTTTATTTGTTTAATTGTTCATTATTTCAGCACTTCATATTTGATACATTCTCTGCCTCCATGTACATAAATGTGACCACAGTATAAAGATGCAGAATTTGGCTTTTGTCTGAAGGTTTTCCTTTGGTTTACAGATTTCAGTGTTTATTGATATTCAGTGTCTTCATTCACTGTAGATATTTCAGCATACCAACAGTCTTGAAGGATATTTCTCCAAAGAATTCTTGTACAGATATGAAGCAGAAGGGATGGCCATCCTCTAACATGTTTCTACTGTATTTTCAGATATACATGTACATGTACCTGTAGATGATTTGGGGGTATACCAAACCCTGGTATTTTTAATGTTTACTTGAACATGTATCTTTGCTTTTTAGGCTGTGGACAAGGTATAGGGTAAAAATTGTGTGAAAAGGCTTAACATTCTAATGTTCACCGCAGCTAAAAATGAACTTCCTTGCAACATACACACTGTTACATTAGACTTGTCTTATGATTGTCATTTTATATATTTAGGCCCTAATCCCTTGATAATTGCACAAAAGTTTAGCATACAGTGTGTTTTGGAAGACCAAATAATAGATAGATCTGAAAGTCAATATGTCGGTTGTAAAGTTTGAGTATTTTTTTAAGTATTGTGTCGTTCATTATCAAGTTTTTGCAAAGAGTCACACTCAGCAAGTTTTCACCTGCACTAGAGTAAAATGATCGACATACTCCTGGCTAGTCTATTGCCGGTATTTATAGATACATGTAGATTCTAAATGACCTCTGACGTATTCTGGAGTAAGGTTTGAGTTTGTTACATGGGTGCTATGGATATCCTGCTCCATCAGAATGGAAAAAATATAGGGAGCTGATCCATTCAAAGAAGCAATCCTTACACTTGGCACACACATAGCACACAACTGATGCCCACTGAGGTGGTGACTAACAGGTGTCTCAACTTGCCTCTGCAATGCTTGGGCATTCTCACATTACCTGAACAACAGCTCCTTTGAAGTACACACAGATAACTGCAGAGCACTTAGTCACTATCTCCTATAAAATAAGAATATTAATTAAATATTACTTGATAAAATTTGAAGGTTTATGAGCCGAGGTCAGGAATTTTCGTCTACATATAAATGCAGTGACATTATTGCATTAGATGAACTGGTTAGAAACGGATGATGGAAAATTGGCCTAAAATGAAAGTTGATCTACATGTAGTTTGTTGTTATGTACACTACTCAATAAGAGTTAAGGACCACTTTTTATTTTGTGTATACTTTTTATATCAGATATTTTACTGCTGAAAATGTGCATTAGATGTTTTGGACCATTTTTCAAAATTTTTATTCCAATGAGAACACCATCTAGACAAACACAAAATGAAAGAACTAGATCTCACTCATTGCTCGGAAAAAAAAACTACAAGTTAAAAAAAGTGGTCCTTAACTTTTTTGAATATTGTATTTAGCCCACCTGGCTAATAACTTAATGGTGAGGTCATTCCTGTTATCTTGTCATTATCATTATAACACAACTTTGTCATTCTTGAAACCCCACATACATGTACATTAAATCAGAATACGACATTGCATTTGAAGATTACTGGTGCTGAATGTGTTCACATAGAAACACACACAACAAACCAGTATCATTCAAATTTAAGATTATGATCTAAGCCAGAGCACTTCCGTCACAGAAATCTATCACTTTTTAGTGAATAATGTGCATATGGTTACAATGAAAGCAAATGTGTTAAACATGTTAAATGGTACCAAAAAATGGCCTTATAAAAATGTATCCACCTCAAAAAACCCTGAAATTCATAAAAGTGCCTACATGTACATGTACAAGATTATTTATAAAGTCCTTGTTATTAGCACTTTATTTTTATATCCTAAATGAAGTTGGCCAAACGCAACTCATCAGGTGCCCATTCCACACCTAGTTTGTTTGCCTCTCCCTTTTTTGTGACTGAACTGCCTGTGTGTTTTTCACTGCCAACTCATGCAATCTCTGTAGCTCAAATTCATCGTTTCCTGGCAGGGGATGCAGAGTTCCATGCGTGGCTGGGACATGCAAAACATTTGTAGTCAGGAAATTGATGGTAATAGGTAGCTGCCGTGTTGGCTAGTCAGTAGCAAGGCAAAGATAGCAAGACAAAGTCTTTTTTAATCCCTGTAGACCACAAGCTACTTTTTCTAGTGTTGTTGTGTCTAACACCAGCCAAATGTATATTTTCATTTGAGAAAAGGAGCTTCAAATCTCATATTTTCAATGCTGTTTTAGTTTTAAGAATATTCTGGGGGAAAAAGTAATAAAGGCCATATTAAAAGATCCCCTCTACAAATCTACTTCAGTAAATATCAGCTATTGGTTGTAAAATAACTCTAAATAATATGGCATTTTATACATTTACTTCTCAAGGACATGTAAACCATAAATGGAGTGCAGTGAAGTGCACTTCTCTTATGGCCATCCGGGAAAAGAAACCACATTGTGAACAGAACTTGTGGTAATGACTAAGTGACCCTTTTTAGCTTTATTAGTGGTCCATTTTGAAAATGTCAAGACCAGAACTTACCTGGTACTCTTTTAACGTCAATGAGATTTCGATGAAAATCTACGACAGGGGGACCACTATAACCACCTTTTGATTGCATCTGTACTTGGATAGAGTTTAAATGCTGAAGAAAAAAGGAATGAAAAAAGTACTTTAACTTAAACTGTGTACATTTTAAACAAAATTAACACAGTGGTTTGCAGGTACATGTACATGTTCATTACGATCTGTCCATCCACAGTGGCTGGTCATGATCTGTAAATGTTCAATACTTCAAGACTACAGTGATTTGGTTCATGGCGCTGACCTCAGGCAAAACCATGAAAACATTGGAATAAGTTATAAACCACAACTCCTTCCCTTTTTCTGGGTACCCATCAAATCTGAACCAGTCACACCTTGAAAAATTTACAGAATTTAACAACTTTCTCTTCAGTTTAAAACAAAATGGAAAAACCCTTTGTTTGGTGCTGCTGCCTTGAGAATGGTTGGAAACAAAATCTCATAATCCTTTACAAGTAAACAACTCTTTCCAACAAGACACATCAACTACAACTTATTCCTACACCTTCTTCAACATCACAGTAAGAAGTAAAAAGTTGGTAATTTCCTTTTCAAACAGTGGAAATTTCCATATGTCAAAGAAAGCAATGCTAATTCATGAAAACAATTTAATTTAAGTTAAACGTGGCAAGTACTGATATTCCTCACATTTTTTGGTCCTGCTCTTTGATGCAAGGAGAGTCTTCAGAATGTAACAATTTGGAGAAGGGGGAGTACATGTACACTGTACTTACTACACATCTGTATGGTTTGTTTAGTCTGATAATTTCAGGATATACTATCACTGTACTACACCGTACATGTACATGTAGGTCTGTTTGTATACATGTACATCTACATGTATATAACTTAACATTTCTAAATCTATGCATTCCACTAACCAATAGGAGTTTCCTTTCAAATGACCAATCAATGAACTTGAAGTGAACTGACTGCAGGCAGTCCTGCCAAAATCTAATACAACTGGCTTTATGTGTGCAGTCATGTGTACTTATGCCAGACATTTATCATTAACTCAATACAGACGGTACTTGAGGGAAAGGAGCATTAAAACACAATCACTTTTGAAATAGTAACAAAAACTTTGGAAAGCTTTTTTGGTCTTCACAACTGACAAAGCAGTGTATGGGTGTTGGTCAAGGTCAAAGTATTGAATTCATGACAAAGGTTTTGAGTGCCAGACATACATGTACATGTAAGCAAATCCAGAAATACCCTCAGCAGTCTTGTCTGTGTGTTTACAACAAAGCAAAATGGCCTGAAGTATTCTGAGACTACTCAACAACATGCAATATTACATACAAACCAGGTCTACATTGCAGAACTTCAAACAAAGTGCTCATGCCAGGTAACTTCCTATTCCACCCTGTGCAGGAAACCGATGGCACATCCTTTGTATAACTTTAAAGCTGTATTACACTCCGCACAAAGTTACATGTATGTAGTAAGCAGTACTTTTCACAATCTTCCAAAATCCTATAAAACCTCTCCATGAATTTGGAATAACCATCGGGAGTTTGTGTGAAAACAACGTTTCAAGAATTCATACCGGTAGTTTTTTAATAACAGTTTGACCTAACCTATGGGTAGCCATGAATGATTTTTATTTTGTCATGGTCAATTGACAGTGCTTTTGAGGTTTATCAACAAAATCTTTGCATATTACAGCTCAGCAACAACTCAGCTCAGGACAGCAGTATGTTCAAGCTATGCTCTATTACATCTGCTAAATTTAACATTGGCATATGAGTTTTGAGGAACCATGTTAAGAAGAGGTTCTATGGACTTTGCAGATGACTTGGTAATAACAGGAAGTTTTCATTATCAGGAATCAAAACAATGAAAAATAAAATGATTGGGACCAAAACATTTCCTTGTTATAAACAGAATGTTGTACTAACACTGCTCTTACTAAATTAATAAGGTTTGACCGTAAACAGCTTGTTGGAGAATGTGAGCGACAGAATACATTACATCCAAGCTGTAGCCTCCGTAACATCAATAACTTACATTATTTTGTTCTTGAAGCTCATGCTGCGGTGACATATCTCCTGACCCTATGTGACCCGTGTGGATGAAATTTGTTGGTAGTCCTATCATCGATCGGTCTATTCTCTGCCTCCTCTGAAGAAAAGAAGGGAGAAGAGTAAAAGAAGACAGCAATGAAAAACTTGATTAGCAGTTTGACAATGGATGTTTCTTGGGTAATACAAAATAAAGAATACTTGTCACTTTTAATCCTGCCACATTACTGAGAATTTGTGCTAAATCCGACAATATTCAGTCTGCCAATCCAACAGGTTACAATAAGGATTTACAGAGTTTTAGTACGAAGCCAATTCTAAATAAAGGCCAAACTTTAACCAAAATTAATAGTCAGGTTATGTAAGAGGCTTAACAGAATTTGTCCAATAAATCAAGCTACTGCAGTTTGTGACCTGTTTTTGTGAACATTCAGCTTAACCCGGATGGCCTCAACTACACTTGAAATCACTTTATCGGGCCTTGGTATCAACAGTTGACTAAAAAACAATGTTGTTACATGCTTTTTACACAATGGCACTATGATTCAAACCTGAACTTCCTGTTAAAAAATAATTTTCCTGGTTCAAGTTTCAACCGTTACACATGTACATAAGATTCATGTTGGAAAATTCAAACTTTGCAGGTGAAATACATGGACTAATCTTCACTAAGCAGGCCTCAATCTTGGGGGGAAATGGGGCAGGCCACTTTGGCCTTGCCTTCATCAAATTTCAACAAGGCAGCAGGCCAGCCCGAGGGGGCACCAAAGCCAATGATTTGGAAACCTTTGATTTACATTTTTGACAACCAATCATGTCATGAGTAGGCCTATAAGCTATTGTTCAGTTCTTGTACACCATGCCATCCCCCTTCAATAAAAGGCGTTTATCATGCTGCTACTATTGCTGAATTTGTCGCATTCCCTGTATTAAATTGTAATGTTCATTTTTAATTAATTACAAATTACAATTACCCAGACAATTTTTTCCTTCAGAATCCAGCCTCTGATTTAATGCTTGCTTAGATTTTGTATCCCTTTCCCATTAGAATTCAAGGATTCCTAATCCCCGTAAACTACTTGTAAGTTTAAAATATAATATATGATATGCAAGGCTGCGTTCGCGCGGTTACTCCTCAAAACCTGAGTGTACGGTACTCCTGCCGTTCGAGCGCTCGGAATAGTACTCGGGTTAGCACGAGTACCTCGCTCGAACGCAACCCAAATTCGGAATCGCACAACATGCATAGGCTTACATGGTACACTCTTATTACACATACGGCCGGCAGCAAAGGGGGAAGGGCACGCTGGCCAAGGTGGCCGCGACATGTGAGTTTTTTGGAAGGGCATTATGGCCAACTTGGAAGGGCACACGGCCATTGGCTGCGGTGATCACGGTAAAGATCAAGGCCTGCTAAGTTGTAGTTTTAGAGGATTTTGATGTAAGATTGGCCATATTTTGGTTTGTAAAATTTTTTCAGCATGGCCTTCCTTCATCAATAACTATCCTCCTTTGAGATGTAGATTACCAGTCTGGTGACTTACAGGGGGTGGCTGTTCTGTGACACAGCAGCTGAAACAGATCAACACGTCACTCATCCTTCTTGGTGGCATGAAAGCAAATGGTTCTCAAAGAGTTCTGTATCTCACAACAATCCCAACTGATTCCCTGAAGTGTACATGTATAATTCTCCACACTACCTATTGCCAGGTAGTTTCCTTGACCTGGATGAACAAAAAACAAAGGCAATAATCTGTATGCCATATAAATCTTGAACAACCTTATATTCATGAAGAAAGAAAAGTGGACAAACCTTTGTACAAAAAAGAACAATTTATGTATGTTTATTGCATTTGAACACTGCAGAAATATACCAATGTTATTATGTCCAAGGCACTGGCAACTTGTGCAATCACAACCAACTTAACAAATCATAAATTACATAAGTTAAGAGATTTTGTTGGAATATGCATGGTTAAACAATAACACAGCATACAACAAAAACATGAATTATGCTCGGTCAACTTAAGGATTAGATGTACATGTAATCGAGCACACGTACAACTGTACAAAACACATGTCTACTAAGAAGGATCTCAGACAACCCAACCATTTACCAATATAACTTTCGATAACTGGACCCCTGAGACAACTTGACCGATGGGACAACTCCACTGTTTGGCAACTCGACTCGGGATAACCAGACCATTGAGACAACTCGACCATTGTGACAACCCATTTACCTACATGTAGTTGTCCATTAAGACAACTCACTTGTGCAAGGCATAACATGATGGAGTCCGGGGCAATGAACTCCACGGGTATGATGTGTACAGGGACCCGGTGATGCAGTATGCAGAGATCGGACCAGTGGGCAGCACATCAGCCATCCCAACTAGTGCAGTGCAGAGCCACAATGGCCATGCAGCGTGCACAGTGGCACAGTGCAAACTCTGGCCTCTGCAGTACACAGTTGATCTGATAAGTTGCTACATGTAGTCTGCCAGTGTGGGAAATGGAAAATCTGTCCTTTAATTTGTGGGCAAAGTGACTGTAAAGCACACGCACATCCATTGAGGTCAACTTGAACTTCTCTCTATGGACGACACGTCCCAACAGTTGAGTTGTCTATTTGAGGCACAGATACTGTAGTAGAGTTGTCCCATAGTCGAGTTGTCTCAAAAGTCTCAGATTTTTCATCCCAGTATGAGCATGGAAAAGTGGAGAATTAAGAACAGACAGGAGTCGAGTGGGCCTGGAGCCACACAACTACAGGCAAGGTTAGACGCCATTGACATATACTGTACATGTAATATCACTGCATAATGTGCATGCACAGCGCAACAGCCATGCTACCGCAGCTTCCGCTAAAAACTGCTTCTAATTTTACACATAAAAATAACAGAAAGTTTGACTACCTGAATACACTGAACCGAATACGTTTTTCTCTGCTGCCCTCCGTTTATGTTTACAATATATGTCAGGCTCCAATGAAAATTTCAACCAGTATTTTGCAATTAAGTGTAGACTTCCGCATCACCAGTTCCACTGAAACGCGACGTACGTACAGTACTGCTACGCGATACCCGATCGAGTACTCGTTTCCACTAATTCATATTGGGCAAGGCACGCTGCAATCATTGTGCACAAATTCCTGACAATAAATAGGATACCAGACTACTTGCTGGTGCTTTGTCAATCATGACGCGTGGTTGCAAAAGCCGTGTTGCGTGCGGCACCAGTGGTTAGGTGTAGTTTATTCTGGGCGTGGTGAGGTGATTTATTGATCTCAATCAAGCAGCACTGCGCTTGTCTATTTTTAGGTCTAACAACCGACGCTGATAAACCAGTGGACCCAAACGTAAACGTTTTTGTCCAGTTAAATAAAAATAAATTCAAATCATGGGCTTACGCAACAAATAGTTTTTACAATGTGCTCGACGATTCTTTCATTGGAGTCATCATGACAAGTGCGAAAGTTTACTATTGCTGCCGGTTGAAGTTGATTCGTAGTTGATCGCACCATCCGCACAAATCTATTAATGGTGTTAAAGCGTAACATCCTACCTCTGAGGGTTCCAAGAAAAGCCCTGTTGTTCTGGGGGTAGTTATATCCTGTGGCATGTTACTATGGAGCAGCAAACACAAGTGGAAGGTCCGTCAACTTTATTTGGTAATTTCAAAGTGATACGCCCTTATAAAAACAGTGTAATCGTTGCCCTTTATATCAAAGATTAAAATAATAAGTCAAATAATTGATCAAACCAAATAAACTGTTTAGTGAATTTGTTAATTGAATTCACGGGCATTGCTAGACCATTTTGAATGGGGACGGGGGTTGCCACATGAAATTTGCCGACCGACCATCACGCAAAACGAGTGTGCTGTACCCCCTTCCTTTCATCTTCATCATGTCCATTCTCTGTTCGATTTTTAATTTGCCGATAGACCATGATTTTGTCGATAAAACTAACCGAGGGGAGGGTGACACCCTCGACAACTTCCCCCGCTAGTGACGCCCGTCGTGATTGAATTTTCATCAACCCAAGATTTTTTTCTATGCTTATGCTGATCTCCATGTCTTTAGTGCAGTGTGTTATGCATTGTAGCTGTGTCGCCTGTTGCACTTTTAATTAAGTTGTGTCAGCCTGTAGCAATAATGTTCCTTGGGGGGGTATTTGAAAATTGTTGTTATGAAGGTTGGATAACAATTTCCATTTGTTTACTGTGTTTTTATGCATTTTTTATTTGATAAGGCTTTGATATTTTAATAATGCACCATTTCGATTTTGTAATTTAGCCTGAGGGCTATTATGATGAATGTATTAAACCAATATAAATTAAAATCAGCTGCCGCAACGGTCTAGGAAGCGTCTGCCAAAGCCGCAATGATACGGGAGTTCGTGGGAAACAGTGGCACACCCAGAATTTGCTGCCAAGGATGATGGCTTGGATCGGCATTTACTCCCCAAATTGCTTATGATGTTCAGTTAAGCCCCCCCCCCCGCCCCTTGTAGTGCCACTGGGGACTGGGGTGGGATGAAAGGCTATTTCAGGTATAGTACAGTAGCCGTAATGTACACCACCGGTGAACGTGTATATGAAAAAAATGAAAGGGGGGGGCCTCAAGCCCCTTTGCCGCAGCTGCTAGCTTGTAAGAGCCTCTCCCGCCACACGCGTTGTTTAAATAGCGCCCTCTTTATGGGTTCTAATAACTAGGCACGTAATGTTGAGACCCAAAAACAGACTGAGAGGACGTCTAATACCAAACATTGAGCAGTTTTATCCCAGAAGGCATTGGATTCTAGGTTGACGAAATGTACGCGCTTCGAGAACGTTCGTACGTCGTGCACAGCGCATGCGAAACTGTAGTGCATGCGTTCTAGCTGTGTTGCCCTGCCTTTGAGATCATGAGTACAGGTGTACGTGTACATGTACGTGTGTACATATTTATGTAGGCGGCTAACTAGGCCTACGGTGCGGTGGCGAGTTATTCAAAGCATTTAGTGTTCGAAGCCGAAATTTATTTTGGAGTCAGTCATGGCTGGGAAGAAGAAAGGAGAGCTTTCTGAGCTAGAGAAAGAATTATTTGAGAGTATCCAATTTGGTGAGTTTTCAGGCTTGTTAGCCTAGTTGATATTCCACAGACATGACGGACAACATCAGTCCGGGAAATGCGCAAATTAGGAAACGTTTCCCAATTCGGAAACATGTTACCGAATTAGGAAACTTCCAATGTTTGCAGGTGAATGTTGCTTTTCAAAGGGGAAACGTGAATTGCAAACCAGTGGCACACCCAGTATTTGTCGTTTGGGAGGGCGACTGAATTCGGAGGGGGGTGAGTAGTGGACTAGCTAGCCTAGTGTGGCACGGACTATCACTCCCGATCTATAGATCTGATCTATAGATCCGATCTATAGATCCGATCTATAGATTTGGAGTGATCCGTGCCACACTAGTGGGGCTATGGAGACTGGCATGACTGGAATTTCAAATTAGAATGATTTTCCCAATGCCATTAATTTATCCTAACACTTCAGTAACAGACATACAATTACCGAAACTACATGTAGGGTAAAACTGAGGAAATAAAAGTGAAATTATGGCATAAGTTGAAATGTATAACACCGTATAAAATTAATCTTTGACAAAATAAAGCATTTTATTAAAAGAAGTTGCGTGAAAGGCAAATTGCAATGTCAATATTGAAGTGCTTTATTTCCAGTAATTCTTCTTGTATCAATTTTTATAAGGTAAGAATTACAGTCTACTACTGTAAACTTATTCTGACTAATTTTTAAAATAAAAGTTACTATTAAAACAAAAATTATGTTAAGTGTTTAGACAGAGAAAATAAGGGCCGTCCTTTATTATAGTTGTAACTTTCAATTTCGACAGATACATGTATTACAGCTATTTTTCCCACGCAAAAATATAGTGAAAAGTCGAAAAGTTTGATGCTGTCGTTAAATTAGAACCAGGATTAAAATACCAGATGGTCTACTAAATTTGATTACACAATTTAAATCACTTTTGCTTTTTTTCTCTCCACCTGTAATTCAAATAATTTTCTGCAGCTTTGTCTAATTTAAACAGCTAAATTTTATACAAGGTGCCTTAACCTTTTCTCCTGTGAAGTGACTTCTCAAGCAATTAAAACGTTACCCCAAACCATGTTTAGTCTAAATCGAAATGTTCCTAAAATGTTACTTAAAAAATGAAATTCTTTGATGCAAAACATGTCTTTTTGAATAAAATGAAAATATTTCAAATGAAATTGAAGAAGTTGCAAACATTGTACGAACAGGCTAAGTGGAATGCTGAACTTTGGCGGCAAATCTTTTGGGAGACATGGCCGATGGTGCTGCCTGCCACATCTTTCACAGTTGGTGAAAGTCTTGGTGGACGTGTATTGGGTGGTCCAGATTCGCTCGTATATTTCTTGAAGGGGAGGAGCTGTGACTAGACAACTCCAGTCATCAAACCGGCTGGACTTGTGGCTTTATTTAATAGCAAACCTGTGGCCTTCGAGGGGCAGGTTGTGGTATGCGTGGTAGCTGCTCTAAGTAAAGGGAAGAAAAATGGGGAGTGGGCAGTAACAGTTGTGCTAACTTTTATTTTTTTGAAGTGGTCAATATCTGGAAGTAAAACATCGCACATCCTGGATGGAGCAACAACTGTACATTTAAGTGGTAGCGTTACTTCCTTGAAAAAGTTCTCAGCAAGTCGTCATTGGAACCGGATGTTTGTTTTTCATCAGGAGACGTGGACATCTTTATTGACTTCCTTCTGCAAAGTGGCAGTGGCTAGAGCCCTTCCTTCCATGATGATGGTACCAAACCGCCGAGGAAGACAATGCAGGGTTTCCCGACTTTTAAGTCCCGTGCGCCAACTGGGCTATTGATATAAGGAATTTAAAACAATAACACAACAAAACTATTGTGATTTGTCTTAACCGTTTACATTTCCTTTTTATAACAGAGTATTTTTTTTTACTTTCATTGTAGCTATCTTTAAAAGTTACACTGTTGCTAAATTATTTATTTTTAAAATAACAGCTCCGAAGGAGGCTAATATCAATCTTCAAAATGGAGTCAAACTTCAAATTTGTCGTTTTCCAATACTCAACTTCTGATCCGTCTCAGGCTTCAACTGTTTTAACTACCCGCTTTGAAGTTGTAAATGCAACAGTAAGTCTGATAGTGCCACAAAAAATCAAGTACACGTAAGATGCAAAAGAGCCAAACATCACAGTACTTCAATTTTAATTTAAACACTTCAGGCCCACAAGCGGGGATTGGTTTCGGAGACGAAGCATGAGACGGAGACAAAGTTAATTAAGTATTGTAAAACAGTCTGAATTTTTGTTTCCCAGCCACACTTTTTGTGTGACTTTGGAGTCATAAGCCTTTTTTCGTTTCATGTGCACAAGCTCAGAAGACTTAACAGAGGGGAACAAATTCATGACAACAATGTTGCATAAAATTTGGCCAATGGATGCTCGCGATTGTTATTGTTATAGACAATTTGTTCGAATTTCCCCTCTAGCTTTGTTTACTCACTTGTGCAGGGGCACTAAAATCAACATGGCAAAGGAACAGAAAATTGGCTTACTGGTGTATTGTTGTTTACGTGGTGTTTTAATACAGTGTGTTTTTTAAATCAAGCTTTTGTGGTAAATGATCTGATAATGCAGACTCCACTTTTTCAATCAAATTTTCCTGTGAGCATGGTGAGAGCAACTGTGAGGTACCTATGTGACCTAGAGCTCTTGAAAATGGTGTAACAGAGGTTTCACTCAAACCACGAGACCAATTATTGTGTGAAAGTACGAGTTTTTTACTCACTGATCTCTCGTTTCCACCCAACAATCTCACCGTTTGTGTTTATGACTTGTGCATGAGTCAGACCATTTTGGGAAGCAGGGGGTTTTCTAAGATCTTGCAATATGTCACATACACAGTGCAGCACATGTTGCATGTCCTGATGGTATCAACGCACAGGTCACACAGAAAGGATGGTTGCGCAATGAAAACAAGATGCCATTTCCCCCTTCCCCCCTCCGAGAAAGTTTCAGGACCATTTGGGGAGTTAAATTCTGAGGATTCTAATTTGTGGTGTGACAATGTACAAGTTATTTTGAGTGACATCAGTTAATGGAAGGCATAAAATGGAAAGCCTATGAAGGGTATTTGGACTCTATTATTGCCTGACCGTGCCCAAATGTTAAAAAAGGCGATTCATACATGTAGAGTCCAAGTTACTCGGACAAGGGATGCAACATACATGGACATGTAAATTCTTAGAAGAATTCAGTGAAATCATGCTGTGATTTTTTGAATGTCTTCATTACCATGATAAACACTTTTTTTTCATGATTAGGCTTAAAGCAATTTGACATTCTAGTCAAATTTATTACAAACCATTCACCGCATGCTTATACTAGTTGTTGTTTTGTTTTAATGGCGCTTTCAACAACTCAGGCTATTTGCGCCATAAACTGTACGTTTATTCATACACTTTATTAATCAGCATCACATTACAGAGTTAGGAAGAAGGTCCAGTTTTAGAGGCAGGAGGAAACCGGAGTACCCGGAGAAAACCTGCGAGAGTGAGTATGGACTGGAAACCAAATGCACTTAAAGTCTGGGCTAACCCGCTCCCCCACATGCTTATATTATTTTTCAGATAATATTGAGCTTATTCGACAGTTGCTTAGTTCCCCTGACGTTTCAGTCAACTGCCTAGATGATGTAAGTATAAAAAAGAGCCCCTTGAAAATCAATCATCAAAATGTTGGAAGTACACACTATCCCTTCCACCTGTCATCATCATTTTGCTCCATGAAGAAAATAGATTCCAGATTTCTTTGTTTATTCTCAATTACAGTCATTCATTGGAAATTCATTGAATATGAAAAATTTGTACACAGCTAAACAAAACAGCATTTCAGTGGCCCACATTTTTTCCTACGCTTCCAGCTTCCACTTTGTGACTTTTTTTTTAACCATAATCCAGTTCTTGTTTACCATCATTATTCTCTTTCTGTTTTCTTCTCGTAGCATGGAATGACCCCAATTCAGCATGCAGCTTTCAAAGCCAAGGTACCTATCTGTGAGTTACTCTTGGCAAATGGGGCTGATGTCAACATCAATGAACATGAAAACGGTTACACAACACTCATGTTTGCTGCCCTCTCTGGTAAGTCAACAGCTGATTGGAAAGCCTGTGCCCTGAAAAACTACAGTCAAACGTTGCCACAGTCCCACAATTTTACATAGTATATACACATATTTCTGCCAAGAAGAAATTGGCATGTGTGAGCTAATCAGTGAGAGTCAGTGCCAAAGGGTAAAAATAATGCAGCTGAAGAATAATAAAGTTTGGAGTTAACTCATTAATGTGTTTTGGGGGGAGTCAATCGGTCCTGGTAAACTTGCAAACTTGCCTATGGAACATGCACATGTACATGTATTTGAATTTGTCCTTAAGAAATAAGACTGATCAAGCTCTGTGTAAAGGTATCTTTATGAGATAGACATGCAGTACTCAACTTTTATAGTGCTGGTAAAAAGGTCTGTTGTCATTATTACAGGTAACACTGAAGTGACACGCATGATGTTGGAAGCAGGTGCAAAGACGACACCCGTCAATTCTGTTGGTAGGACTGCTGCCCAGATGGCAGGCTTTGTTGGTCAGCATGCCTGCGTCAGTATTATCAATAACTACTTCTCAAGAGATGATATTGATTACTATACAAAAAAGCAAGGTAAAAGTTACTGGTCAAAAATCAATCCTTTACTCTCATTCTGTTTTTCTGTCTATTTTTTATTCTTTGTTACACAAATTAACCTCTTGTTTCATTTTTACGGTGTTCATTTACTGATCCTGTTTCACGTTTTATATATGTAAATAACTGATGTAAACCATATTCAGTTCTTTCCATAGGTCCATCTTATTGGATACACCTCCCCTCTCAAAAGCGATGTCAGATATGAGATCACATTATTGTAGTTTTCCAAATGAAGCTTTTCTTTTATGAGGTATGGCAAAGTGCCATCTAATGTACATGTATCAGTCCATTTATCACTGAATGTATTTGCCGTTATAAATGCTTCATAATTTTGCACCTTTGTATGTGTAGGTAAGTTTGTTATAATAAAGTGCATGGCACGACCTTTGACATTAACCACCCAGGCTATGTGCATAATGGAAATTCAGGGATTGAGGATTATTAGGGTTAAATGGTTACATTATGGTATGATTACATAGGTCCATGTCTCATTCTCAACATCAGTTACTACAGTGTCAAAGTACATAACACAATGCATTGTTTAATGTTGTGCACAGGTTTTGAAAAGGATCCTAAGCTGAAGCCCGAACTTGCTCCAATTGTTCACAAACTCATCCTTCAAACAAACCTCAATCCTGTGAAGGTGAGACACAGTAACTAAAATGAGTTTATTTATAGTGAGACTATCTTGCAACAATTGTATTTATTGGTGTGCAATAGTGTGTGTTGTTTCCTACATTGTGCAGTAAGGGACCATCAGTAAGGGACCATCAGTAAGGGACCATCAGTAAGGGACCATCAGTTAGGGACCATCAGTAAGGGCCCATCAGTTAGGGACCATCAGTAAGGGACCATCAGTAAGGGACCATCAGTTAGGGACCATCAGTAAGGGCCCATCAGTAAGGGACCATCAGTAAGGGACCATCAGTAAGGGACCATCAGTAAGGGTGTGTTCTTTCCTGCCTCTTACAGTTCTTGTATACTATCCCTTTCTGCTGCCCTCAGCAGCATGGGCACATGTAGGATATTGCCAGCATTTCCTCCAACTGATGCAGAATCTGGTATCAATTCTCCTACAGCTAATTCTTTTCATCAAGGAGCATGAAAAACTCTTGAGTGAGTCTGTAGGTGTGGCTCGTGTACTTGATGTTATCTGTGAGAAACAAATGAAGATATCAGATACTAACGAAGTCTTGGCTATGAAGACGCACTACCTGGCCTGCGTACTCAGGATGTGCCATAAATATGACGTGGATAAACTTGACGGCATTGATGGACTTCTCAAATAGTATGTTGCAAGGATCCACAGTTTGAATAGATTTCTTGTGTACTGCTAATAGTTTTCACCATGAACTAAATGATTTAAACTCAAAAGAGACAAACCAGACTTGACAATGTCCTACCCTTCAGTAATCTGATGGAGTGATTGCAAGGGGAATATGTAGAAATGGAGATTTGGTGTCTGACATTTCTTTTGGAATTAATTGTCGCATGCAGTCGTACATTACAAACACACTGGTTTTTGACTTACAAGCATTGGTTGAATTTGATACAGTATATTCAGGAAATGCAGAAAAAGGATATGAGTAAAGACATGTTTCTGCACGCACAGTCATTCTCCTTTCATTAGCAGTATTTTGTTAATTTACTTGCACCCAGAATTAACAAAAAATACTCAGCATGCAATTAAAAAGAATTCAAAGAGTTATTAAAACTCTAGATGAACCCTCAGCATTTATAGTATTGACTGTCTGTTTCTTGACAGTTTATTGAGGGGTCGGGAACCAGATGGAGAAAAGTTAGTCATGGAGAAGGTGATCCGAGAGGCAATTCGAGACTTCCCGTATCATGAATCTGAACTCTTACAGACGATGGTCCGAAACATAGCCAATGTGAAACCGGTAAGAGCAGTGGAGGTCTATGGAATGGATTGTGGTCAAATTGTAGGAAAACTCACGGCTCTTTAGATCAAAACAAGAGGACAGCTTTCAGCAAAATTTCAAGTGTTTGTCTCATCCAGATGAAGAGTAAATCTGATATTTCCTTTGTTCCTTGCCTGTTCATTGATGTTGGCTAACACCAGAAGGATGGTAACAATCCCATAGTCTTCTTGTCTATTTTATTTTGGCTTACAGGGAGACGATCCCTCAGCATTAACTATCCTATCACAGGGTATTAATGGGTCACGCAGTGTGGAAACGGAAGAAATCTGCATAACGTGTGGTGAAACCAAAGCAGCCAAGAAGTGTTCGGCATGTAAGACGGTAAGAAGGTGCAGAGTTGAGAGATTGGAAAAGTGGTTCTCTTCATTCAGCACAGAATGACATTTGAAAGAATATCGTCACGAACAAGAGAGAAGTATCCAGATAAGGTCATCAGGTCTCATGCATCTAGAAGAAAGAATTACAAAGTCATATATTTCAGCTGTATAAGCAGTCCTGTTGAGACAACCGTAGTATGATGAGAATTTTTCCAATCAAAGAAGATGCCTCAACAATTGTGCAAACTTGGCAAAGAAATGTTTGCAGGTTTCCAAATATGAAAATCACATTCTATCATTTTGTTTGATATACAGGTCAACTACTGCAACCAAGCTTGCCAGAAACTGCACTGGTTCACACACAAGAAGGTATGCAAGAAATTAGCAGAGGATTACCTGAGATTGCAGAAACTTAACGAGGAACTAGAAGAGAAAGAAAATAGGAAGCGAGCTGAAGAGGAAGAAAAGAAGGGTGAGTGGGAGGTGGGAGGTGGGGTTGGATGGGATGGGAGACGGGTTACGTCTTTGGAATTCAAAACTGTTGGAGTCTGATTATTCCTGATGGTTTTATTCTATGTCAAACCTATCTGAGGCACAATATTATTTACCAGCTTTTGGAAATAAGGAGATAACACAACCACAGTCTTCTACAAATAGAGACTTGTCAAATACTGAACCGTAGTGTTCATATGTTAAAGATTTATTCCTCCTTGTTGTACCATAGGAAATTCCTGCATATTTTCACGTTATCTGGTGTGACATGGTTGAATGCTAAGCCGAATCTTCAGTTATTTTCCATTCATAAATCTTTGTTTTGAATTTTCAATACGTGATTCTGCGCTTTGTGATCTAATGGTGTGACATCACATGCTTTGAAGTCATGGTAGTCTTGAGTACCCAAATCATTCTGGTCAAGTCTCAAGCCTCTTTTGTCAAGTCTCAAGTCAGATTTCTTTTTTGTGGGCTGGCATTTGTTCAGAGGCTGAAATCCTTGCATCAGAAGAAGCTACATCTGAGTTAGCTGCAAAAGACTCGTCAGAAGATGTCTTGAATTCTGTCTCCATCAGCGAAGTCACTTTAGAGGAAAAATCATCAAAGGAGGATGAAGGGGAGAAAGAGGAATCCTAGCAGGAGATGACCAAGATGAGTAAGTGATACCAGTACCAACAGCAGCACATGAAGCCTTCTATATGAGGAAAATCACATACGCTAAGTCATGTGACCTAAAGTGGATATCAATCATCAACGTCAGCTTTATTTTTGGTAAATGACACTTATGACACTTTGCTATGGGAGGACGCCATGCCTGTTGATGTTTGATACCCACCATAGATCACGTGACTTACTTGGCACAATTGGTCTATTGTTCATTTCTTTATACATGCCTACATGTCAGTTATGCAACTACATGTATTTGATCTTGCAGTATATGTACCAGGCTGTATTCTTGATGGGTGAACAGTTCAGATATACATACATTTATACTGACATTTGAAAAGTGTCAGTATTTCCTCAAGTTTCATAAGTACAATGATCTTAGTCAGGCAGAGATATTTGGTACATGTACGGCAACATTTGCCTGTTACCCATCAAGTTGTCTACGCATTGGAAAAAAGTGTGCTAATTGGCACGTCAAAGAGAGGGTTTTATATCTTGAAAAATCATTGTGCATGATTCACTTTTGACACCAGTTGGCAACTCAATCCTGGTGATGTCATGATTTCCAGAGGAAAATATGTATTTCCTTACATGTATTCAACTGCCTTGAAGCCCATGATGATTGACGGACACATCAGAGAGTTCAGCTGCAACATTTCTCAGTCTACACATCCTTTAGTGTTTGTAGTAATGGTTGTGCACCTGATTGTGAGGCAACATGCACATTGTATCTATCTCAGAATTGTTTCTGATGTACTCAGTGGTTAATATTGATGGATAGTTTATAGAGTTGTCTACATGAAGATGTTCTTTTCTTTCCTGTTTATTGACCCTAACCCCCCAAGGGTTGCTGGCCCTAAACTTCCCCATTCATACAAAGTTAAATACCCATATGGGACTTTGTGCACAGGGGCTGTTGGCCTTTGTTTTTCTGAGGTATGCCAGAAGCCGGCTGTCTGGGCCTACCAGACCTATCCCCACAGAATTAAATATTTTACTACTGTTTAATTCTTTGTGGTTGGGGAAGGTTAGGGTTAATATTAGAGATGATGTTAACATTGCTTTCCAGCCACTAGCCCTTGCCAGCAAAGTTCATGTCATCTTTCTACCAGTCATTTTTTTGCATTCCCACCGGCTGTATTTTTCTGTTCTGTGTATCAAGCACCTTGTCAGCATGATTGTCAAATACACTAGCATCAGCCACAAAATTTCCACATGAACGGTTTTTCCTTGCTTTGCAAAACGATGTATCACCAAGTTTTTTTGTCAGGTAAATCTCAGAGACAAAGTTAAAGTTAGCAGTGAGTTTTGGTCGCAGTTGTCACATAACTTGCTTGACATTGTCTTTGACTTTCTGTCTCTCACAACTTTCTTGGGCGGAAGACTTTGAAATATTACAGTATTAGTAAGTTTGATATTTCTCGTTAAATCACGGTTGAAGTAAATTGACCTTGTAATCATTTTGAAAGACGTTTCCAGTGGTTGCTCAGAATTAAATTACAAATAGTAGCACTCAGAGTTGTTTGCTCATGGCCCTGATGGTTTGAACAGAATTACCAGCTTTAGTGATGGGGAACATCAAATTTTGGTGAATTTTGTCACTTGTTACAACACAACATAGACAAAAATATTTGGCCTTTGTATTCAAAGCACAGTACACTGTGTACAAGTAGACCGAAGCAAGTCCTAGTCCAAAGATGGCAGAACGATTGAGATCCCTTGTGGAATTCTTGTAGAACTGAACATTGTCAACGTTCATTTCAATCTCTAGATCCAAAATGGTTATCTTCTGTAGGTGGTGAAATCATCAGATAAGTTTAGATTGCAGTCTGTCTACTAATGGGGTGATGTTCATTACAAAGTGGTTTACAATACAAAAAAGACCTACGTGTAGTCATGTAAGTTCATTCCCTTCTAGCCCTGAGGTGCAATAAGGTCTCACATTGTATACATGATTTCTATGGAAGCTGCGTGATGATTGCTTTTGACATTACGAGTCCATTGCGTATTTTTCAAGTGTTAACTTAAATTAATGTTGTAAATCTTTGTTCGGTTTCTTGTTTTTGTGCAGTGGAAATAAAATGTTCTGCACAATTTCTGTCAACAAATGGACATATTGTGGATTTCATGGTGATTTGTACCTCGTTTTTGTGAGTGATATACATGTATATAACCTGTTACAACTATTTCAAGTTGAGGAAATAGGTTTGTGGCTAACAACATGGAGATGTCTCTTGTGAAGAATTGTTGGCTGTGAAAAAAGGCAACACTTCTGCTGTCTCCTGGAGAAGTGAAACTGTCTTGCTGAAGGGGATCCTGGGTGAAGGAGTATAACTTAAGAGATTTAAGAGAAAAATTTGCAAAAGGACTCGGAAGCAGAACTTGGATGGCGGATTCATTATTAATGCAAATTGGAAACATATCAAATTCAAAATCAGGCGAGTAGAAATAGGTAAACTATTAAATACTGTTCCAAAATTGATAAGGGAACAAAATTTTGTTTTACAATGAGCATACCAAACCCTGGAATATGCATCTTTATCTCCAGCAGATGAACCAAGCACACTTTGAAATGAGAGCTCTCCATGTCACTTCCTTGCAAGAGAGCAATTTCGCGATAAACCCACACGTCTGTTTACAACCCACCACACAAAGCTTCAAGAAGCATTTATTTCAAGCTGGCTTGACAAAGGATGTTTATTGCATTGTCTACAGCTTTCATTTGGGCAGTGTATGTTTTATCCTGAATTTGGGAACTGGCATTTTGCCAAAATGATTACGTTTGCATCAGTAACAAAAACGTAAGCACAGGGACACCATGGTCGGATAAACTTCTCAGCAGTAACATAAATCTAACTCGCAAAAATACTTCTTTTGCAATAATATGAAATTTATTACACATCAACCAAAATGAAATATCAGCCTTATTAATATGTTCATATTAGAAAAGAATCAAAATGTTGATAAAACGGATGTGAAAAATTGGGAGGTAAAAAAGTTACACTGATCTATATCTGAAAATAGTAAAATGTAAGCAAATTAATTTCATAAGGAAAACTGATACACTTGTAAACTTCAGCTTAGATATCATAGGCACATCCATCTGTACAGGTCTGACTCATAGCAATGTCAGCATTCAATTAAAAAAAACAAGCCACTGTAAAGATAACTTGAAAGGGTGCAAGACTAGAGTACCTCCCAGAGGCAATTTCAGTTGCAAATGGATTACTCTGTAAATGTTTACAAAGCGAAGACCTACAGCATCAGACAAAATAAAACGGTAATGGAAGATGTGAAACAAAACTTCAATGTATTTCAAACACTGAACTGAACATGGCTGGCAAGACGACATAAACTTCAACAAAATGTTACAAAAAAGTTACTTTATTCATGCACATAAGCCTCTCAGATATTGCCCCATAGATATCTGCTTTACAAAAATTGAAAAACAAACAAATTTCATGCAAAGACAAAACTTGATGGCATAACTCACCATCAACCACAAATAAATGAAATATTTCCACAAGATATCCTATTTCCCGAAACCTTGCGTTTAAAATTTAGTTATTACAGAAACAAATCTTCAAAGTTCACTCAACGTATACACTGTACAAATGCCCTGAGATTCCAAGAACAGTCAATACTGTGATTTGATTCTTTTAAGTGTATCCATCTTTGATGTTAGATAATTTTCACACAATCATTTGGCAACTGTTACATTATTGTTAGAATTTCTGAGGCATCACATTCTTTACACTTGCCAGTGGATTTTGGACAGTTACAACAATCTTTTAAAATGTTTTCATCATGGTGCTTCGGTGTTATGCTTTTCCAAATGTTTCTTACCATAAAATATAAGTTTTTACATCATCATATATAAATTGCAGTTTACAATAGTAACACATACATGTAAATAACTTTAAAGAGAAAGTAGGCCTCCAAATCAGATCAAGAAACTGTACAAAACCTAAAAATATAGGACTATGACAAATTTAGCGTGACACATGATGTGAAAACGTAGCAGGTGCTATGATAAATTTAGCATGACACATGATGTGAAAACGTAGCAGGTGGGGTAACTTGACAATTTGTAAAGTAAAATAAAATGATAAATGCAACTATATAGCAATACATTTTGTGCATAAAGTAGACATTCAAACTTGTGCAGTTAATGGACGGATAATGCCGACCGGAATTGATGGGATTTTTCCCAAGAATACAATATATTGTTAGAATTCTTTGGTTATGAAGGAAAAACTGACTGGATCTGAGGCGATGAGCTAGAGGGAAGCCCAGGGAGCTCGGACACAATACTCTTCCTGTGTAAAAGAAAAACAGAGATACAAATTCACAAACAATGTTCAGTAATCTACAACAAATTTGAAGTCATACTGTTCGTGAGCTACATGTATTTAACCTCCAGTTTTCGATGTGTTCAATATCATTTGCTGTTTAGCAGGAGCAGCAGGTAACGGACAGTCAGCTGGAATGCCTCAAAGACTGGTTTAATTAATTCACTCTGGATGATTAAGTAAAACCAACATTGTAAGGAATCCAATGTCCAATCTCAGCTGTATATCTTCAGCTATCATTAAATGAATTGTTGATTATGTCACACCAGCAACTGAGTTTGTGAATTTAGACATCTGTCTTACGTTTGTGTTTTCCTTGACAGAGAAAACTCACTGAATTTGATACTTAAGAAAACATACTCTGTTCTTTGCTACAGAATGTGAGCTTTCAATTTCAAAACTGGCAAATCATTCTCTCACTATAAGCTTATTCAAAGAATTTGTCAGCTCAACGGAAAGATACATGCTGGTTTTCATCAGGAAGAGTTGTCCTGCTTGTTATGTACAAAGTTAATTGACAGTGGTAGTTAAATTCAAACTCATGCAGTGAGATTCTTGAAGACTACAAGTCTTCACAACAAAATGACAAATAGTAAGATTTCATAATAGAACCTGAATGGATTATCAAGTGATCACAGTGAAGTTTGGATTGTATGATATGACAAAATTAGAAATAAAGATATGAATTTCTTTTCAAAATAAGTGTATTAGTGTATGCATTAAGATACCCAACAGTGGATGCCAAAAGTCCAATTCCTCAAAATGTGTTGTTGTGTTACATGTTTATCCATAGCTGTCAATTATTATATTCCTCTCTTGACAGCATTCTTATGGTTATTACACATGCAACAAAATTGAGTTTCATGTGGACAATGCAACCAAATTTTAGCCAAGTAAGCAGTTGTCAGTCATGAAATTTCTGTCCTCAAATTCCAACTCAATACAAGATAATCTACATATCAGTGTGTTTTTAATCTGAACAGTGGTAAAGTGACTTCAATGTTCATATAATGTCTGTGCTCATTGTAGTACTTCACTGCAACCAGTGTACTCAATCACTCAAGTTGTAATCTGCTGAGAGGAGGTACTTCAGGTGAATGTTAGGAAAGGAGATGGAAGGTGGGGGGTGCAAGCAATCCCTACCCGGGCCAGGTTCTGCTCAGAGTCTGGCTTAAATCGATTCTCCAGGGCTGTAGTACGAGCCCAGGGTTTCTTGACGAGCTTAGTACCATGAGGTTGGTTCCAGGGTGGTTGTAGGGAAAGGTCATCCTGTTAATAAGCAGCATGTTAGGAAGAAAGCAGCAAAGAAGTAGAGGCAAAGCAAAATACCAAGAAAACAGAATTTGAGATATTATTCATGAGACCTACAGAAAGTTATACTTTCAAAACAGTACTTTATAACTGTGATGACATGCTTGATTGATGGGACAGGGCTGTTTTGGCAGAAATTTATTAAAAATGTAATTAAAAATAATTTAGCTACCATAATGCTCATGCCAAGACTGAAATGTCCAAAGTTTGCAGTGTCTAAGTGGTAAGTAATGACACCAGACATAGCGATGTGAATCAATACTGATTATAAAATTGATAGCCCAGAATAAATAAGGTAAGGAACATAATTGGAGAAGGGTAACTCCACGTAAAGGTGAACACTGATCATCTTGTTACCAATGTCATCATTATTCCAAAACATAAACATGTTCTTAAAACTGATGTTTGGCGAAAAACAGTGAAAACAACATGTAGCATCGTGACCATTGATTTCCACTTGCACTTTAAAACGTAATACTACTGTACTTCTTCAACTTTCAATTTTGGAAAACCTTTTTCTTCATGAATTATGAATAACGATGATGTCAGTAATGGCACAACCACTTTCCACTTTTGCATGAAATTGGGGGGAAAAAATGCATGGCCGCAAAGATTAGAAGCATATAGTTATGCAAAGATGAGGCAGAACTAAAGGTGTAATATAAGGAGGCATTTTGTTTTGACATGTCAGTATGTCATGATAATCTCAACGTAAACCATGATTATGATAGAGTAATGACTAGCATGTCTGATTGTTGAAATACAATGACATATGATCAGCCTTACCTGCTTGCCTTTCTCCGTGTCTAGAGTGTGACGTTTATGGTCAATATCATCAACTGGGGCACCATGCCCTGGACGACCCCACAGACGGTTAAAGTTCTCATGATGCTGTGATCGAAAGATGAAAAACCAATAGATTTACAACCTTTACATTATGGCTGTATAATTGATCTTGCTTATAGCTCAACATCTAGGCTACGAGATTCAGTACATCAAATCTTACTCTTAGACAGTGTTGTATTTGAGTCCATCACAAGTCCCTGTAACTCCAGATCAAGTCCATCATAACTCATTCTGTCTTAACCATATGCTGCCGTGGAGCCCGTTTTCGGGCACATAGGCTTTATACACAAAACCGGGGAGCCTGAAACCGGACAAAAAAGCTGGGCCTTGTAACAAAAGACTGTGCTCAGCACAAAAGACCGAGCTACTGGGAATTGCCAACATTTTTTTCAGTTGTCAGTAGCGGAGAAAATCCGTCCTTATTTTGAGAGATTATACACCACTGTTTGTGGAATTCAGCATGAGCGGATTACCACCGGGGACAAAAGCTCTCCAGTGCTCCAGCAATGAGCGATACAATACCGCTGCACGCTAATCTGGCTCCTATTGAAAAGACACCAGAAGCACACTGTGCCAGTTTTGGAAACAAAAGAAAGTTACATAACAATGCACAATCTAGGCTCTTTTTTACAAGGCGGCAGGCCTGGCTGAAATACTCCGGGTCAATAGATGTTGTCTGTCAGATTAGAGTACATATAGTCACCAGACAGTTATTCATGTGGGTGTAAACGTCCAGTAAATGAAGCGATGAATTTTTGAAGAATTTTGAAAATGGAAAATCTTGAAACTCTCCCGGTTTTACGTCATGCAACTTCAAATTCCACCTGGCAGCAAGTGGTAAAGCCAGTTCACAAGCTTTTCAAATTAGCTGGGACAAAAGTAATTGTTTGTCATTGTTTACCATTACTTAAGACTGGCATTGTGAGGGGACTTGTGAAAGGACTTGTGAAAGGGTTGTGATGGACTCGAATACACCACTGCTCTTTGACAAGCAGATACTTGCCTACAAATATAAATGGCTGCTGACCAATGAGGTCTTGACATTGGCAGCAGATTGGCTCAGTGACAGTCTAACTTCTCTTTTCTCATCACTACAGGAGGATGTTGCCACAAAGCCTTTATGGCAAGTACACTTGTTTTTTAAAGGCTCCTTCTCTCTTTGAAATCATCTCCATAGTGCACTGTCGCACTTTGAAATACAATCCATAACAATTCATAACAGTAAAGTTGAGCAAATTGATCTGCAAGGTGGTTCTCTACTTTGGATGCAAATTCTGAAGCCTCTTCAAAACATCTGATACAATGCCCACTTGTCTTGAATACTAAATAACTAAGGACTTTTATTTGGACTATATTGGACCATTCAAAAGTTTCAGCATTTTGCCCAAAAATGTGCCACTCTCTTTTAAATGTCTTAAAAAATTATGCAGAAAACTTTTGAAATTGTTCCTAAGTAAGAGTTGATCCTATCAAGTGTGATGCTTACATGTGCTGAGAGATCTCTAGACTCTTGTTTCTTAGCCTGATGAGCCTGGTATCTCTCTTGAGCTTGACGTTCCAAGTCACTCTGATATTCCAATTGATTACCAATCGGTCGACGGATATCCATTCTCTGTTCAAGTTACAAAGCAGAATCTTATTAAGAAAGAATACTTTGACTGAAAGGAATTGAACCTGGAATCTTGTAACTGCTGCTCAAGAGCTCACTGCCACCCACGGCATGTGTGTTCCTACACTGAATACCCTTCATGGCAATACATATGTTTTACTGTCATTATTTAAGCCAAGACAACTGAAATGGGATGACAGGTATCCAATCAGGTGAGTTTCAGTCAAACAAAGGAGTGATTCTCTACATTTGTCCCAGGCAATTGTTATTTATTGGAAACAGATTGGAATAGTACATAGAGAAAAACTATGTCAAGATGACCCAAACGTTTGATCGCTTTTCTCTGAAAATATTCCTGGCTGGTTCAAAAATTCATGCGCATCCAACTTCTAGGATTGCAAGCCATGCCAGCCATTATTACTTACTTGAGCAGTAACATCAGATGTCTGTTTGTAATGTACTGGCAGTATGGCTCTTGTCACTGGATCTCTCTTGGGATAACCAATCTCCTTAGTGCGTATCCAATCAGCAACTTCTGTGGCAGGTTTGCGGATCTCCTCCGTCTCTATATCACGCTGATGATGCTGGTCTTCAATCTCTTTCTCTGTTGGTGACAAAAAGAAAATCATTGAACACCCTTTTCCAAAAGTACTACGCATTCTATATTTAAATGCAAAAAGTAATTTTTCTCAAGCACCATTAACACAAAATAATGATAATGAGCTTACTCTTATAGGATAAAATGATAACTACACATGAACTATGCTCTTGCACATACAATACTTACCTTTTACATAGTAGCTTAAATTTTTTCATGAGCAATTTAAAATTGTACCAGCTAAAAGTTGGCAGCAAATTTGCTCAAAGGAAACTTTTCAAATATACATTCCATCACAAAATAACTTAATTAGCTAGTTAAAATTGAGGATTCCAAACCACATTTTGCGCCAATTAAAGATAGAACTGCTGTAGGCATTTCTGGGCACAAAATGTATTTACTGTAAAACTACATGTGCATCAATGCCATTTTGTTACGGCAATATTGGACCACTGAATTTATCACAACTCTGCAATAGCCCCGGGCCGCTTGGTTGTTTCTCATGCAAAGCGCAAAGACTTTCAACCAGCATGGGGTTCAGGGCCCACTAGAATAAGAAATTTGGGCCAATACTCATTTATATATCCTGAAGAGAATCTTTGCTCATGAACTGTCTTTCTAAGACTGGTGATCATTCATGGGGAATTCCCTTGTTAGCAAAGGCAATTAGTTGGCCCTGACCCAGTCACACATACATGTAAAGTGCCCCCCCCCCAGCAACTACAGACTTACTTAGTTGGTTAAGATATTCTTTCTTGGCCATCTGTTCCTCAGGTTTTGGTGGTTTAAGGCCCATCTTATCTTGTTCAGCTTTGCCTCGATTCATGGCAATGATGTTACCTCCTTCATCAATGATGGGGGCACCATTTCCTGGTCTGCCCCATGGATTGTATTCCCCTGGTTGCCGGGGTACATCTGAAGGGTCACGAGCCAGAGGCTCTGGGTGGACATAAGGAGGGGGGGAGAATAATGGATTAGTGAACAATCAAGTACAAGAAGTAATACTCTAATAAAGGGTGAAGTATAGCAAACTCCATCTCCAAAGAAAATTCTTGTATTAAATTCCCAACAAATGTCTGGTTTGTCCCTCACTAGCACTCTTGTAAATCTGTGGAACAAGCATATTTTTATCATTGGGATTCCTGTCCATTTGTGCAATGCGACTTCACAATGCAATTCATTATAGGTACACCCACCATGATCACATGAACACATAACATCTGCAAAAAAAGCAGGCCACATCTGAATTTTGTCTAGAGCACGGATTAGATCTTTACCACGTTAGTCTGGCCCATTTCAGACAGGAACCCATGAAACATCTTTTAGTGTTTTTGATTTAACTTGTCAATATGAAACCTCAACTTTGAACAACAAAGAAAAAAAACACGGGAAGAACCTTCTGGGTCCAGTTATTTGGAACTGTTTCCAACAGAAAATCGGTAAACATAAAATTATTGTTAAGCTAACTTGCCAAAGCTCCATGCAATGCCTACTGTTTAATTCTCAGCCAAATCAAGCTTAGCAAATGATGAATACCAAAGAGTGACGTCATTTCAAACCACGAAGTGCAGTGCAAATGAAAGGAATAGGTGCATATGTTGGTTCACACACTGGTTCTGACACTGATGTCTTTTACACTCATAAGAGTGCGCATGATGTATTCACTTCAATACTGTATATTGGAGTAGCACGTTTTACTTTGTCTCAGCTCTGTGAAATAATGGACCTCAGACATTAAGTTGCAGTGAGTAAACACAGTGAGTAAAAATAATTTACATAGAGTAATTAGCACACCGAGACTGTTCACATCAGTACCTGCTGAAATGAAAATGTGATTTGGAAAACAATGAAAATTTACCATAAACTGTGGATCAGTAGAGAACTATGACATATCCATGTTAGTATTTGCAGAAGTCACACTTACTCAATCAACCATTTGACACATGCTCAGAAAATTATGACAAAGCTTTGTCTATTGAAATGATTCGGAAATCTGCCAGTAGTGGTTTACTACAAAGCAGATGTCAATCAGCATATGCAGACACACAAACACTGAATATGACAAACATAGTCAGCATTATTATCGGACATAGTGAACATGCATGAACAAAAGAAGACACATTGTTACTAGGCAACAGCATCATATGCAAATGACAAAGAACACACTTGACAAATACATAATGTTGGTTTGAAGACAGGTGCAGCTGTTATTAGTATTAAAGTACAGAGAACGGTGCCAAAAAGGGATGGAAAGCTGTGAAGATGATATGGAAACACTGCATGCAAAGTGATTGAAGTTGGGATACCTGCATGCCGATGGGAATCTCTCAATGGTCCTGTTAAGATCAAATATTGAAACACACTCAATAGCCTGAAACAACTGTGTTACACCAACATCCAATGCAGTACATTTGCTGTACTTTAGTGGTCATTGGTTCTTGATGGCACTTGTTCTCAAGCTGTCTGCCCCAACGCTGAACATAAATCCATTTTGTAACTTGATATCATTTAGCTTGATGTTCTACTTAACAAAAGCTGCCTTTACAATGGTCTTATTAAATGCTGCAATCAATTGTCTCTGCTCTGACGGGTTGGATACATTACCTCCAGAGTTTTGGTCATGGACAAGGGTCTGCGGTAACCTGGTCATCTTTTCTCCTTTAGCATCCACTCTGTGTCCCCCGCCTCCAATAGGGTTTGTCTCCAAGGAAACACCCTGTCATACAAACAAACAACAGCAACAGTATTAGGTTATCCTCTGACTTTCAATGGTCAGGTTAGTCTATTGCTCAAGTTTCATGAAAAGATACCGGTAGATTGTATCACATTGGATAAGGTCAGTCCAATCCAGGCAGCTCAGAGCTTCAACATCCACAAAAACTTCTCTTGTAATCAAGAAAGTAGGTTTTTTTTCAAGTAAACATTTCTTCCAACAATTTTCATACCTTTTTAATCTTTTAAAAAATTCCCCAAACCAAAAAAAAGGTGACCAATAATTGGTCACCTTTTTTGGGGGTTTATTATACTTCAACACAACAATTTTTTTTCCTCACTCCAACTCACAAAATGGAATAGTAAAAGCTGCATTACTCCTTTGTCTTTACCTTAACGTTAGGATCCACAAATTCAGGCACATTATTCCCGTCTGTCCATTTGTATCGTCTGACATTGCCAGCTTCATCTCTCTCTGGCACTCCGCTCCCTTTACCCCATGGGTTATAGCCTTCAACCTAAAGGGCCAAAACATTACAACACAATAAGTAGTACGAGCTTGCATTAAAGAAATGGTAGTCACCTGCAGTGAAGATTTAACAGTTTTGATCAGTCAATGTACGTTATATCAAACTATAGGTCTTCTGCACTTTAGAAGTTCATGTAGTACAGAAATTACAACAGTTTGATTAACAAAAAGAAAAAGAAATGACAGACTCATGATGAAACCATTCACAGGCTGATAACTAGACAAATGAAACTTACATCTGTTGGCTTTCCAGTCCCAGAACCTATCAGTAGCAGGACAATAACAAACAAAAAGTGTTGGCTTTTATCATTTGATGTTAATTACAAATACAGTCAACTCTCAGTATAATAAATGTGCAGGGACCAGATGAATTTTGTTATAATAAGAACTTTGTTACAAAAGAAGTGGGAAAAGCAAAGAAAAACACAAGAATTCAAGAAATTGGGATTCAGTTTGTTTACAACAGTGGTGTGTTAAACACTCTTCTTCGTATCGAGATTTGACAGCATTTCCACGGTGGAGTTTCATACAGAAATCCAATCAAAATGTAATAAGAGAAGGAAATTACAATGGCTGTACACAGTACACCAGTACATTCTGTACATCTTACAAAATACTCCATCTATAGATTGATTAATTTTCACAACTATTGTAATATCCATCAAGTATTAAAGATAAGCCATATCTACGTAAACACACTAGGCTAGTAGTTT